TTTGGGACTCTTAATAAAACAGCAGTTTTTTCTCTCCATATTTTCACTACATCATACTATGAGCCATAAAAGCCTGATATGACTAATATGATATGAAACAAAAAACACATGAAGACTGTTTTAATAAAGTTCAATAAAGTGTTCCATTTACGAAATTTGACTTTTCTATTAGGGTTAATAAAGCCATATGAGATATATATATATATACACAGGTGCATCTCAATAAATTAGAATGTCTATCACGTTAAATATCGCATGCGATTTATCGTGCAGCCCTAATTGAGATGCACCTGTATATATATATATATATATAGGACATCACAAATCCTATTATCATTACTGATAATCCTAACATTATCAATTACTGTACGTGGACTCACCTGTCTGTTTATTTCAGCCCCTGTGTGTAAGAGCCACAGCAGGCATTCTGGATGTCCTCCAAACGCAGCAATGTGAGCCGGGGTCTGGGCAAACCGTGTGGTCAGTGCATTCACTTCACAACCCACCTGCACCAGCCTCGTAACACACTCCAGCTGTTTTGTGACAGAGAGTACAATAAAATCAACAAATTAGTGACATGACCTTCCACCAGTGCCTGGTTTCTCCCCCTACATTGTACATACATGTGAAATCATGCTCAAAACACAAACCATCAATAATTCCAGAACAATTTAAGACATAAGGATTGAGTACTTCAGCTCAAGCTGTTGTTTATAGCAGCAGACTTCACATTGGTGAAATCAAATAGTTTAAGACAGACTGCCAATCTCTCTGACTTGCTATTTGAGGCTCATGTTTCCTGCTCTGCTGTCAGGGACCAGCAGCTGTGTTGCATTTTCAATATGGAACACCATGCGGCAACTCATTACCCTGTTCTCTGGCTCTCTTCTCCCTTCCTGACATTAAACACACTCTGGAAAAATAGACCAAATCCCTCAAACACTTTCAAGTCCTACCACCTTTGTTTGGCTGTTTGAAATTGCCTCATGGCCAAAACATCTCTGTAAAAATTGCACAATCAGCAGATGTTAAGAGCAGAAACACAGGATGTGCTCGTTGTATGCGTGTTAGGGTTAGCCGATGGCTGACAGACATCAAGATGTTGAGCCGGCTAAACTAAAAATAGTTACGTCACTGAAGCTTTTCCATTTTTCCATGATGAATGCCAGCATTGAGACATAATGAGGTAATGTGTTTGAAATAACATCAGTAGTAAACTGCTCACACAAGAGACAAACATTTTCATCACTGAATGGGCACAAAAGTACAAACTTTCTAACTTCAACAAATCTGTCAATAATCTCACATTATGTAACATTACACAATTTAAACAATATGACCATCAAATGTGTACAAATTATGCATGCTAGTACTACTTGAATACTACTACTATTATTGTCAGATGGTCATCACTGTTTATTTTCATTGCTGTTATTATCATTGCTGTTCTATTGCTGTTTTGTGTTCACCGTATGTTGTATGTTTTGCACTCTTAATAAAAAAAATAAATAAAAAAAAAATTTAAAAAAAAAGAACGAGCCGTTTTAGGTAGGTGTGGTTGACTCTTAACTTTTATAAAGAATATCTCTTTGGATTTGAGACTTTAGTCTTTGCAACTTTACAGATCTTCTTTATGCACCAAGAGCTTGTAACACTCCAAAGAGAAAGGAAAAATTGAAATCGCATCATATGACCCCTTTAAAGGCTGTCAACGGTATGTCAAAACTTCCAACAAACTTAAGTAACACTTCCACTCTCCAGTAAAATTTGCTGATAAACTCACTGAGGTTTACATTCATTTCTAAACTAGAATATAAACGATCTAATGAAACTTTAGGCGCAATGTCAAGCACCGTACAAAGGTCCAGGCTCATGTCATTTTCACAAAGTTTTTGTCTGCTTTATTACCATAAAGATGTTTTGTCAGCTGAACAATCGGTAAGTTTTAAAGAACTGTACAATCCATTGGACACGCCAGTGGCGAGGCCAGAAATTTTAAATTGAGTGGACCTGGGTAACATAGGGTGGACCTCAGTGCCTATTTCAAAAATAATTTTACAATAGCCTACACGAGATAAAAACAAGGATGCAAAGTCATTCCGATCACAACAAACTCATGCAGAAGTGCATTGCATGCATGCATTCATCACCTTGTTGCAGTTGAATGACAAATGAAAACAATGTGTGGTTCAAAATCGGCTGAAAATATCAAACATGTTTGATCTCCTCCAACTGGATGGAATCAAAGTCTGAAGCTAAAAAATCATAACCATCATACACTACGCAATTTTCGGTGAAATCTGTCAACTCAAATCTGCAGACTGGGTCTGAACTTCTCCAGACTGTAAATCGGGGTAAAAGTTGTGTAGTGTATTCCAGCCTTTAGAGTGACATTACATGCTGCTTTGAACATCTAAGAGCCGATCGCGTTGCGATGATGATGATGTGGTGTTTTCCAACGTCATTTGTAATCGTTGGGAAGTTCAACCAATAGAAACTGGATCTCAGGTATGATGGATGGGACGATGACTAAAGACCAATCGAGGACTGTTTTACAGCGGGAGCACGCTTGGATTGGATTGCTTATATTGACGGCTCTTGCGATCGCAACAGAATAGAAGCGCAAAACTCAAGATCAGTGCTCATCCACCAGGATCTTATTTTTTTTTTTATTTTACTTGTTCACACAAACAAGTTGTTTGTATGTTCATGTATTTGAGCAATTATTATAATGTATGCAGGATTTTTCTTCTTTCCTCATTTGATTGGGCAGGCCAGCCGTCAATCTGAGTGGGCCAGTGCCACCCTGGCCCTTATGTAGCTTCGCCACTGGGACCACTGTAGGCTACTTCAGTCCCTCAAAGACTCGTTTGTATTCCTGTCAAAAATTAAATATTGTGCTACCCTAACTAAGGTCTATAGACAGCAATACAACAACACCAAAAGTTTTAACAAGAGGCAGGTTTGAATTTTAAATTCGCGGTTTTGGCGTGTGGTGTTTTATTGGTCTTCGCCCAGCCAATGAATTAATCGGTGGGCTCCCGCCTGTGCGTGCTGGCACTCGATATTGCTGCTTCGCGGAGATGGTCCTCACTGCAGAACACAAGATCCAGGGGGCGTGGTTGGATTCACATCTAGGGGGTGGAGATGGGTATTAGGTCAGGTGGAGCTCTGCAACTTTGATTGTTTGTGAGCAGTGGTGTGATGGCGATTTAAATAAAATACAGATTTCCAAACAATCCAAACATATGGGTATCCCCTTGAACTTGGTAAAAAGATAATCTGTTTACCATCTTGACTTGAAAATACTGTTTTCATGTCATTTTTTCATTTATTATTTGCTAATGTTAATGAATGTTTACATTAGAGTGCACGTCCTATTCCCTACTACGCTGAAATTAATAGGGGAGCGGCTGGAAACTAGCGACCTCTCCTGGTTGGAGATAGTATTAACATCATACACTGAAAGCAATCTTTACATGACTTGCTTTTCAAATGTTTTAAAATTGATAATCCGAGTCTAATATGATCCAGCAGGCCGTACTAAAAGACATTGCGGGCCGTATACGCCAGTTGCCCATCCCTGGTTTAGGTATATGTAAGGTGGGAGGAGTTGGATCTGTATCCACGCCCCCTGGATCTTGTGTTCTGCAGTGAGGGGCTACTGGGGCTTCGCTGGCTGTGGTCCATGCAAGTTGATTTTTCCAAGTAATGTGATCCAGAAACAAAGAAGCAATCAGAAACGTCTATACTCTGCTTAATTCCTTTTATCTAGCTTAACTTGCGAGGTATATCCCTTACTACATACATGTTAAACAATCAAGAGTGGAGAAGAGACGACATGTGTGCCACTGACGCTGTAGTCTGCCTCATCTCAGACAGAAATCACAATGCTTTCAGTTCAAACATGTATTAAGTGATTAATCTCTGCTCTTACCCGGCCTGAGAGTTTGCACTCAGCCCCTGCGAATGATATGACCTGTTTTCTGCCGATGGCCTTATCGTCCAGGCGATATGGCAACCCATTTCATATTGATGTGATATTTGAGTTTTCTTTGTATGTGCACATGCTGTAAGTTCAGTTCTTGATGACAGTACGCCTGACTAATGATGTTACACGCTCGTTATTCCCTAAACCAGCGCACAAACACGCCTCTTTCTCCTGAAGAGAAAGAACTGAAGAATAAAACATAAATCTATGCAAACAGTGTACTTCTCTTACCTTCCCGAAGTGTGCTGCCCAATGAATGGGGGTCCAGCCGTAAAACGAGTCCTCGGTAGCCAGGTCCGCCTGGTTGGTGGAGCGCTGAAGCAGCGAGCATAGCTCGCCGACGTCTCCATCTCTGCACGCACGATGAAGCGGGTAACGTATGTTCAGCACCTCGTCGTTGGAGAAACCGAGCTCCAGTCCTACAGACATGGTCAAACAGTTCTGCTGCGTCCTTGACAACTCAAATTATTTGGCTTATGAACGCCCCAGGGTGAGCATGGCGATGCGTGCTCAGATAACACCTACCAAACACACACAAAGGAGGCAGTACACTGCAAGCGAGCGCTCACTTTCTCGAAGTGTAACTGAGTGGCTATTTGGAAATCCCGGACTGGAGTACTTTGGGGCTGGGGAGCAGGTTTAGCCTAGACAACGTAATGACGTACAGAAAACCCGCCATGGATTTCAGGAACTCTACACGAACTATTAGGCCAATCCATGTTTTAAATCACGTATATGAATGAATGTATTTCAATGAGTATTTTATAAATCTATCTATCTATGCTTTCGCCCAGCACGGAATTTCTTGTAGAATTTATTTCAGAACGAATTCTGGATATGAAGAGATTATTTGTAGAGTCTATCAAGAAGCTTATCTTTTATCTTTCCTTTTTAAATTGTATTATTGTGTTTACTGTCGATTTGGGGGATGGGTGATAAGTAGATGACTTGTTATGCGCCGAACAGTGGAGGGCGCTAAAGACATCGTTTAAACATTTTAATAGGTCAAAGGCCTTTCGTCCAACGTTATCAAATTTGCACTTTTCGAGATGAAAACAATCAATACAGCTGATGTTTCGTCTGTGTCATCTGCAGGAGAGGTAACTTTACCGTTTTCGCCGAGGTCAAATTTGTTGTTGAAAAGCTGAAGTTGATGAAAGAGTTTGTGCAAGTGTTTAGCAAGCTAAGCTAATTAATTATTTGTTTGATATTTATTTACTCCTGTAAATATAAAGATGCTCGTCACAACAGCATTTTAATCGCTTTGACCACCTCAATTAAAAAATATGATCAAGACGAATGCAAGCGCCAGAATTACCACAAGATGTCACTGTTCAACTGTTAAGTAACGCACGTTCAATAATATAAAATTACATTTCAGAAGTTTGGTACTCTGCATATAGTTATAGTTAAACTGTAACGTTTGTCTTCCTCTAACAGTAAACAAAAACGGTCATGTGTGTTTAAAGGATGTCGGATCAGACTGCTTTGTTCGAGTCAGAAAGCGAGACTTGGAGAAACTGGAAGCAGAAGTCAGGACACAACGAGAGCTTATGCCAAAAGTAATCAATAGTGACTTTATTGATACTATCCATAAAGGACGGTCTCTGGACGCATGTAAGCAAAAACTCTTTCTGTAACAGTGGTCATTTATGATACACATGAATGTGGAAAAATATGGAAACAGTATTTCTTTGTACATGCTTTAGTATAGTAAATTACCCTATGTAATGGACATTGTTGTTCCAACAGCAGGGTTGAGCAAAATTCCGAATTGAAGCTTAAATTCATACTCTGGAATTTGAATCAAATTGGCCATACCTCACAGGAAGTTGAATTTGAATAACAGGAAGGTAAATTTGCTGAATTGCAATTCGAAAGAAACCAACCCAGGTAATGCATCCTGAAAATAAAAAGGCGTAAGCATTCTTCCACTCTGGTTCACAAAAGCTGCCATATATGTATATGTCACTTACACAAGATAAACAAGGCTTTAAGCCAACATTCAAAGTTTTTCTTGGAAAAAAATTGTGTAGTAAAAATTACAGCTGTTTGAATTTCTTTGAATTTCATTATTTCTGCTACCTTACATTTAAATTTCAATTAAGCGCCCTGTTTCCTAGATCAATTCAAATGTAGTGCAAATTCATAAAACTTTAATTCAAGAGACAGTCTCAATTCAGTTCTGAATGGTGCACAACCTTACAGCATTTATAAATGTTAACTCTGACTGTTTTAATAAAAGATTCCTTATTGTTATATAGTTAAAGAACGCAGTGCCCGTGAGCAGCAGCAACAGAGAGAGGATTGTCTGCACATCCGCTCCAGACTAGATGTTGCTCTGAGCGAGTGTAAGAGAGAGAGACAGGTACTAAAATAGAGAGGAGAAAATGATAGACTGAGAAGCCCACACTGAAAAGATTCTAGGAGAGCATCTACACAAATAGTTTTAATGTACTTTATGTGTATGTATTAGTGCAGTGGTTCTCAACCAGGGGGCTGCCTGGGACCCACTAGAAGGCCTCACCACACTTCCACGAGGGTCACAGGGCGGCTTAACTAAAAAAAGTGTGATTTCTAGACTTAGAAAAGTTGTGCAAATTTTTATTATGATTCTAAATTTTTCTAGCTATGTCATGCTCTGAATATTTAATTTAATTAATTAATTTATTTATTTTTACTATTTGTGAGTAAAAAAATACAAATAAAAAATGTCACAAACGACTAGAAAAGTAATTTAAATTAATTGGTAATAAAAAGTGTAAAGCCTGAAGAACACCTGCCTGAAGAAGAGTTAATGAAACTTATAGAAATATGGAACTTAATTTTTTTAATTATTTATATTTATATTATATTGATTTTATTCAATCATATTAAAGTAAAAGGTAACTCAAATATTAAATTTTCATTTATTTATTCAATATCCTGGGGACCTTTGAATATTATTCTTAACAATGAGGTGTCTTGGGGTTAGAAAGTTTGAGAACCACTAGTGTGTTTGTATGAGAGAGAGGGAGAAATCTCTTCCCCAAATAGGTATGTTATGGTTGTCTAGTTATTCGTGTGTGTATGTAAGTATCTCCTCACATACATTTGTAGGAGAAGCTGGTTTTAAAGCAGCAGTTATGGGAGTGCAGAGAGGAGCTGCAGCAGCAGAAAACATATTGTACTGAGCTGGGCGCTGCATCTTGCACCCTGCTCTGGAGTGCATCCCAAAGGGAGGAAGCAATCAGAGACATATTGGCTGATGTGAGTTTGTACCATTTTGGGAGTGGACACTGTTAAGGGCTGACATCCAGTAAAGTGAGCCGGGTTGTTTTGTAAATGGGAGGACATGGATTTGCTTTACCTCAACTCTACATACACTTGTGCATCCACAGGGTAAACTGGAGCCCTTCCTGAGCATTGCAGGTCAAACCATGGAGGCTTTCATCAAGTTTCTGAATGACGAGGCAAAGCCACAACAGAGTTCCAACTCAAAAGAGCATCATTTAGTTCTGGCTCTGGCTGGCGTTGTTACCAGTGAGGGCACTGAGTTTGTTTTTTCTAATAGTTCAATCTAACTGTCATAACTTATTTATACTGTATATTACCATCTCAAGAATGTAAGAAATCGTAATTTCATCTGTTCATTGGTTTTAGATATAGCTGCTGTGTCTTGTGGACGGGACTTCTTATCCTCTTCTGCCCACATCCTGCTGGATACTCTGTTGCAGCTGCTGTGTCTAATGAAACCAGGAGTGTTTCCGAAACTCAAAGTGTATGTCACAATGTCACAAAAACACACATCCAAATATTACTGATATTTATGAATTAAAAACAAATATATATATATATATATATATATTCAACATTTTTGAAAATAATGATCACCCATGTGCAAATATATGTACATATATTTCATTTCCATATATGAAATATATTGTCATATGAAGTAAAAAAATATATAAAACCTATTAGAAACTGGAACAATTTCATATTTTAACATATATATCAAGCCCATACAAATATTTATGTATGTGTAATACATTTTTGGATATAAATGTCGTGTACATGTATATCCATCCTAAAGCCCATTAATGCATGTTGATATTATATAAGTAAATCTAAAAGATAGACTTGTATTTAAAAGATGTATTACAAAAACATATATAAATGTAAAAATGTTTGTATATATGTTGTTTTAATAAAGTTGCATATAAATAAAATATGTTGGCATATGGTTGCTACATATAAAAACATCATATACTGTATATAGGTATGTGTGT